AGTACCTAGTGATTTAGCAGAATTCAGGCCTTTTCCTCCCTTGAGGATCCATCCCAGCTCTAGTACAGTCTAAGCCAAAGACGTCAGTGCCCTCCATTTCTATAGCCAGTCACCTTTCTCTTACTGCCCGCCCCATCAAACTACTTAGGGGGGTGGATTTGGAAACCTTTTGGGATTCTAGATAGCTGGTACCATAGGCTTTGTCCTCTCTACAGGTATGCTGTCACACCAGTTGAAGCAGCATGTCATCGATGGAGAGAAAACCATTATCCAGAATCCCACAGACCAGCAGAAGTAGGTGCCAATCCCACCCTTCACCTTCCACCATACCAGACTAGTGATGAATTTTTTTTCTTCTGAACTTCTAGCCTAATTTTGTTCACTTTCTACTCCAAACCAGGAACTACTTACTGCTCCTTATGGTTCCCTTTTTCTTCCTTTTAGGAAAGACCACGAAAAAGCTGAATTTGAGGTACATGAAGTGTATGCTGTGGATGTTCTCGTCAGCTCAGGAGAGGGCAAGGTGAGGAATGTTTACCAAAGCTAGCAAGAGGGATGACTGAGGGTGTGTTCCAAGAGCACCAGAACAAATGTGACCTAACTTACTCTTTTAGGCCAAGGATGCAGGGCAGAGAACCACCATTTATAAACGAGATCCTTCTAAACAATATGGCCTGAAAATGAAAACTTCACGTGCCTTCTTCAGTGAAGTTGAAAGACGTTTTGATGCCATGCCATTTACCTTAAGGTATACTGCACTTAACAAGGACAGGACTTGGAACTAGCGTGAGTCATAGACCACACACCCAGGAACACTGTTTCTTCCTCCACCCCTCCCTCTCCCTCCCCTCCTGCCTAGACTTGTAATTCCAGCCTTCATGCAAGGGTTCTCTTATGCTCCCCATATCCCTCATTGAAGGGAATGTGAAAGAGCAGTTCTAACCATGATTTTTGCCTAAGGGTAGGAGCTACTTAAAAACATGAGCAAAATGGTAGGTAAGACTTGATATGGAGTTAAGGATCCCTGAATTTGTCTTCTACCAGAGCATTTGAAGATGAGAAAAAGGCCCGGATGGGTGTGGTAGAGTGCGCCAAACATGAATTGCTGCAACCGTTTAATGTTCTCTATGAGAAGGAGGGTAAGTTCTAAAAGAAGTATTTAGAACTGGGTATATGATTCCTTCCTTACTCCCTATATGTTATATAAAAAGTATAACAAGGGACCATTTTATCAAAATACTTCTCTCTTCCGTAGGTGAATTTGTTGCCCAGTTTAAATTTACAGTTCTGCTCATGCCGAATGGCCCCATGCGGATAACCAGTGGTCCCTTTGATCCTGACCTTTACAAGTCTGAGATGGAGGTCCAAGACGCAGAACTAAAGGTTAGTGTGGGCTGCAAAGTGGGGAGCACATGGAACCTGTCCTGGAAGTGAGGATTACGTGTCAGCAAAGTGTCCTGGAAAAGAGCTACAATTTTGAAGTGAGACTGTTTCCTCCAAATTCCTCAAAATTTGTTTTCCTTCTTTCTATTGTCCAGGCCCTCCTCCAGAGTTCTGCAAGTCGGAAAACCCAGAAAAAGAAAAAAAAGAAGGTGTGTTACTACTACCCCTCTTTGGCGGGATCAGCCTGATCCCTCTTCCACTTTCCTGGGTCGTGGTGTGGTGTACATTTGTGTATGTCTTCGTTTCCCCCCTTCTCAGCCCTGACCTAGAGAATTAAGGGTATTTTTGTCCTTGGTTCCCCAAACAGTACCACAAGGAAACTTGACAGTGTGCTTCCTCTTTTTCCCATGAATATAGGCCTCCAAGACTGCAGAGAATGCCACCAGCGGAGAAACATTAGAAGAGAATGAAGCTGGGGACTGAGGCGGGGCCCATCTCCCCAGCTTGCTGCTCCTGCCTCATCCCCTTTCCACCACACCCCAGGCTCTGAAGTGCAGTTCGTCTTCACCCAGGACCGCCAGCAGATCGGGGTGTCTCCCTGCCCCCCATCCCAGTCTCCCGACCCAACCCCTTCCAACAACAACCAGCTCCAACTGACTCTGGTCTTGGGAGGCCAAGCTTCCCAGCCACTGAAGACTACTTTAACTAGAAAAGACAAATTCAGTAATAAAATCAGGAGTCAAAATCCATCGTCTTCAAGCCCCTCTTTCTAGCCTTTTTCTACCACTCTCTGCTTGGTCAAGGTTTATGGCCCTACAACAGAATAGGGAGGAGGCTAAAGGAGCCACCACCGCTAAAACTTCAGCTGAAATTTTTTTATACACTCTGATGTCAGCATTTTTCCATCTGTTGGGGCTTGTTCCTCTCTTTTCCCACTCTTCCCAAGTATTTTATCTGGCCTCAAAGTAGAGAGGAACTGTTCTTCAGATTTGTTTTTATTCACATGTGGTAGATTCCTTTTTTGATCCAGGCTGTCCAGTCAGGCCCCTCCCTTTTTTAGGAGCTGGAGCCTGCACTTAACAAGGGATTCTCATCTACGAAATGATCCTCGTTTGTAAATCTTTTTAGTCATTTTTGTTCTGCAGGGTTCTTTACAGCTCTCCCTCTCCTCCCCAAAGCTGTAAAGAAGGAACTCATTTCAACCAGTCTATTTCTTTGGAGCCAGTGGGGTCTTCCCTTGCTCCATCTTAAAAACCTGAGCTGGAAGCTCGACTGTGGTTTTCTTTTTTGAAATATTTTGATCTCCCTCCCTGGACCAGGAACCAGAGGAGCAGACTGACTGAAGAGACAACTCCTGGCTTTCTAAAGCTGTGGACTTGAATTGGGTGAATTGCTAGGGGTTTGGAGAGAAAGGTGACGAATTTCATTCAGTACCTCTGGCATGCTGTCCCAGGGAACCAGGGCTCCTGCTAACTTATGAGGTTTTTAAACATTGAAAATGACATGGTGTTAAAATAAATTTGGATTTGCTCATAATCATGTGCCTTTGCTGCTCTTATTTGATGCAGGTGGGTGTTAGTTGAAGCGATCATTTGGAGCTGTTTTTCCATGAGCTGTATTCTCTCTAAAACAGGGACTGTTTCCCCAACCCAAAGAAAAATCCTAGATAGTAAATTTTCAGTGGGGGCTTGATTTAATTTTCTAAAGTGAAAACACCAACCTTGCTGCTGCTGACATTTTGTTCAGGACTAACGTTTAATGTGTACTACAAAATACATAAGGTCTGTTCAGAAGGTATCCAGCCATGTAATACAGAAAACATTTATTGAAGAAGACACAAGAAACCTACAAAGGACAATGATGCCTCTGTCCCCTTCAAAGCTGGCACCTTGGGACTTCACTCAGTTTTCCCGTTGCCGTCAGTTGCCGTGTCATATTTTTCTGAATCTCAGTGATGGTCTGAAATCTCTTCCCTCAAAGGTGATTTTAGTTTTGGGAAAAGCCAGGAGTTGCAGGGTGCCATATCTGGGCTGTAGTGGAGCATTGAGTCACCTGGGTGATTTCATGTTTCACCAAAATACCCTTCACCATAGGTGGTAGCATAAGCAGGCACATTGTCCTTATGAAGCTACTAATCACCAGTTTCCCCTAGCTGTAGCCTTCTGAATCATCTGGATGGTTTTGGCAGAGGAACGTTCAAGCTTAACGTAAAATTTAATGCAGATTCATAGCTCCGCCTGCTCTACCAGTTAGTTTGAATGCTAGGGCCATGAGGTGCACATCCTCACTCAAAGGTGTCCACTGCCCCTGCTGACTAGTACAGTGAAGTTGTCACTGTTCGCACCTGCACATTCCAGTCCACTCTCCTTGGCTGCCAGGTTATACTGATGTCTTGCAAACCACTCTTGTTATATTAACAATAGGTGGATTTTTCCTGGACAGACCTCGCAAAACTCTATGCAAGTGTTTATCTTGACTTAGGAAGCCAGGAAGGATGCCTTTAGTGTTGTGAAAATTTTCTGGGCCAGCCTAAAATAAATAATTTATTAGATTTGAGTATCTTAATATGTGAGGCATGCTGACCTAGAAATACCACAGTGAAGAAAACAGCTCTTCATAAGAGCTTATAGATTGGGCAATCAACAGGTAAAATCCTAGTTGACTTGATAATGAAATAATTCTGGTTTGGCTTTCATTTTTATCCTCAAAAACTATATTATGATGATGAAAATACTAAAACTATTTAAACACTTAGAACAAGGGTCCCAAGTTTTAAAAACCTTGTTTTAATAGAGTTAAAAGGGTGATGTGTTACTGCATAAGTTACAAGGGGAAACCACCAAAACAAGGAGGGATTACAAACAAAAAACCTTGCCGTATCAGTGACTGAGGTAAAGTATGGTTAAGGATTCCTTTCCATTCTTCACAACTAACTAGCCAAATCTTTACCTATCCGTTTACCAGGTGCTTCTGACCTGTCATACCCTGATACTGGTAAGTTCTTTAGCATACAAAATACCATTCTTGGCTCTAGATAAGACAGCCATCTCCCCCTCTCCATTGGTAGGGAGAATCATTGAATTACTTTCTGAACCAGATGCATTATGGCAAGCAATCTAATTACATTCTGTCTCAGGCAAAGGGGAAGATCACAGCTGGCTAGGAAAGTTTATCTTGACAACCCGACTTTATATATCCTCCCATGTTCTGTAACCTTAGAGCCTCTGGAGGTTCGAAAGAGTCTCCCCGCAGCAATTTAGTGTAAAATATAAGGCAAACCAGTAAACAAATTAGGAATTTTTGTACAGTACGCACCTATTCATAATAAAATGGAGGTGTCTCAGGAAACTGCAACTCCCATAAAGCAATGAGGGGAATGGCGGAAGTCGCTATCCTTTGCTCGCCTACTCTTCCAGGTGTCATATTGGAAATAGGTGCTCACGTTTAAATAACACAGTGCCCTCATAACAAAACCGGGGATGGGGGATTTCGTAACTCAAATTCACAATACACTTTTCCAAGAGAAGTAAATCACTTATCAGTTATCTGAGGAACCGGAAGCCATCGTTACTCCCCTGGAGGTAGGGCCAAGCTGCGGAAGTGACGACGATGAGCGCTCCCTTAAATACCCGTAGGCGGGGAATTGGCCTTCTCTCGGCCTTAACGCCATCTTCTTAGGTGGGTTACGTTTGCGGCCTGTGTGTGGAGTTCGTGTACAATCCATTAACATCTAGTGTCTGCACTTACCATCATCACAGCAAACTAACTGTAGCCTTTTTCTTTTTACCCGTAGAAACCTCTGCGCCATGAGAGCCAAGGTAAGCAGTCTCTGACTGTAAGCTGAGCTGTAGGAGTTGAGGATTGGGGGTGGAGATCCAGGCAAGGGGAGTCCGCCATGGTTTCCGAACCGCTGGGTTCTTAAGATCGTAAAAAACTAGTGGTAGAGGAAGGATAACGTGCGGAGAAGCAGAAAAGGTGGCTGGGTAAGTGTACGGAGAGAAGAGCGCACGCGGATTTCGGGGGCTACTTGCTGGGGCGGGGGCCGGGTTTAGGAGACTTTATTGTTGTGAATACTGCGACTAAGCCTTAATGTTTGGTCGACAACCTGCCTGGTTTTAAATGCTGCTCTCCACATCCCTATTTAAAGCTGTCACTAAAACCAATGACCTTTTTTATTCTTTGTCTCTGGTTATGATCTGTTGCCAGTGGAGGAAGAAACGAATGCGCAGGTATGTTAACCATTGCGGGCACCAGGGGAGGGAAGTGAATGGAGTATGCCTTGGACAAAACTTCGGAGTAACATTTGGTTTAGAAATCTAAAAGAGTATGAGGTTTAAAATGTTTTGAGATTTGTCAGGCCAAAATGTAGTGCTTGAACATTTCACCACTTTGTATTGTGCGCACATTAAGATGGACTACGCTGGCTTGAGGGCAGGGGTTGTATTCCTTTGTCTGCTTTTCAGGCTGAAGCGCAAAAGAAGAAAGATGAGGCAGAGGTCCAAGTAAACTGCTAGTTTGTGTACCCATGGAAGCCACGGGAGCAGAAATAAAGGAAGCCAGAGGCCAGGGACACTGGTACAAATTGTTCGACTGCATGCCTGCTATCGAGAACTTGTCGATGGATGTGGAACATACAAGTCTGATCTCCGAGACCACCTTTTGAAAGAGACCCACGCTGCTCTTACAACAACAGTCCCTTTTGGTCCTTTTCCCTGGACCTGTGACATTCTGGACTGGTTCTGTTAACATTTGTGGCTGAATGTGTACAATAAATCATCTCTTCTTAGTTGAAGAAAACGATGTCTATTTTGTGGTTTTTATGGTTCCGTTGGCTGGGGAGTCTATCAGTACAGTGGGCCCTGTTACTACTCAGTGTTGTAGAGGTTGAAGCTACAAAGCCTACTCCAGGGGTGTGGACCCTACCCCTACACACAACCCAACCCTACCCACATCTGCTCCCCGGCCCTCATAATGGAAGCTTGGGGAACCAGGTAGTTTGCCGGCAAGTAGGTGCAAACAGTTCTGCCCAGCTCCTTATTTTCCCGGGTTACGTTCAGTGAGTCGCTTTCTGCACGTTTGAAAGTGTTGTGTCGGGTTGTCATGGTGACTCGCAAAGCTTGCTGGGAACTTCCTGCGTCTAGTACCGCAAGTAATGACACCATAGAGTATAGTTCCGGGTCTGGTGGCTAGAGCGTCATTTCTTCCGCAGGAAGCGGAAGGGCTATTGGGCAGGCGGCTCTTTGTCGAAGCTAGAGGACCGGCAGGCGGCAGCAGCAACTACGGCGGCGGCGGCAGGTGAGGGAGGCGGGAGACTTAGGTGGAGGCCGCGCCCGGAGGGGAGGAGTCGGGCCGGCCCAGCGGCCGAGCTCGGTTGGGCTACAGAAGGCCCCCCAGGACTGAGCTGGCTCTTGGTGACCCATGGACGAGCCCCATTTCTAACTGACCTCGCTTCGCGAGCAAACGCCAGCTCCGTGACGTCACAGCCCTGCTCATCTCAGCTTGAAGTCACCTGCAGTCCCTCTCCCCGCTTCACTTCGTGCTCCCTTAGTATCCTGTTAACCTAACCCAGGGCTGAGCTCTGGTAGCACTGCACAGACCTGCCACGCTAGAAGATTTGCTGCGGGAAACTCCTAAGACTTTTTTTCGCAAACTCTGGGGTGTCACGAAGCGTCATAATCACCGCCCCCAAGTCTAGTCTGCCGTTCCACTGCACTGTCAGTCGCTGCGTTTGCACAGCTCCCCATTTGGAGTTCCTGACCCCCAACCCTAGGCCAGTCTGTAATACCCACATTCTCCTTCCTCTTGAGGGAGAGCACCCCTCACCCTTTGTTCACTCCGCTGGTTATCCACCCCATCCTGGTAGGCTCTCCAAATTAGTTCTATTTTTCACTTTTCTTACTTACAACTTCTCCCTTTGACAGGTGAAGTTTAGTTGACACCCTGAGGAAATCTCGATGTGCCCAGAGCTCTTGCCATTTTGTCATACCTTTTTCGTGTAACAGTCACCCCATTCTTAGTCCTCCATTCTTACCCTTTCTCCCACCCAAGTATTTGTTTTTTTCCTGTTCAGAACCCAGCAGTGATGTGGAGGTGGAGACCCTCAGGAGCCCCGGACTTCACCTGAGCTACCTCAGGTATCGAACAATCCTGGGAGAGTTGGGTGGGGCTGAATACTGTATCAGATTATCTGCATCTGGTGGGACTTGCAGTGTGGGCCAGGCTTGGATAGATGGCATTTATTTTTCGCCAGGTCACTTCCCTTTTAGTAAAAGTTTGTATCTTCTCTTTCATCACTTTTTCTTGAGTGTTTCTATTATTCTGGGACTACCTCCCTTTAGAGGAAGAGAACTCTTCTTTTTTAAAGATTCTCTTGTAACTCTCGCCTCTGGTCAGTTCATTTTAGCGAGATCTGAAGGCAAAGGCAATGGGTGGGTGTTTAGAGATCAAGGCCAGAGAAATTGGAAAGTTTCCCTTACAAGGAGAAACGATATGAAGTTTTCCTATTTGAACAGCAGGGGGAGCCTGAACACTGCCTAAGAAAGGTTTACCAGGTCAGACACTTGGTAGCTGGGACTCCAGTCTTGTAGGGGGTGGGGTGAGGGCGGGCTAGAACCAGGGCAGTTGACTGACATTCCAGAGCTCTCTTGGGAAAGATGAGACTTAAAAAGCTTTTATAGAGTCTATAAATAAAGAAGATCTTTATGGGTGAGGAATGGTGTGGTTTGCTGTCAGTGGTATCTTTTCATGGAGTGTTAGGAAGGGATAGAGTGGGCAAAGTAAGGTCATTTGTTCCTCTGAAATTAACTCCTTCCTCCCACCTTCATCATGGAACACATGGTTTTGTCCTTTGGGAGTCTCTAAGTGGAGGTTCCAGCTGTAGAACTTTTCCCCTGAAGTGGAGGGGAAGGGGCTGACCACTGGGATTGATTGTGGTGTTGAGCTGGGAGGGAATACTAAGAAATGACAGGGTTAAGGACTACCCTCAAGCTAGTGACACAAGTCTCTTCACTCAGGATTTCCTGTGGTCTAGCGATACGATACTTTATAGTATCCATTACCCACAGCCCTAGTAGCTTACTGGCCCATTTTGGCCAAGATTCCCAGTCTCCTAGCCTATTCATACACTGCCAGTTTTAATTTCACTTCCACAACTTTAATAAGGTCAGTTCAGAAGGGAAAGTAGAATCCAGTACTACAGTATCCCTGCCCCCTCCTTGGCCTGCAGTCACTAGTGAGATGAGATGGCTTCACCCCAGCTCCCTCCCTTCTCCAATAGCCAGGCAAGTGTGAATCATTCTGACCCAGACCAGGTGCACAAGGGCCTGGGCGGGACTTCTGACAAGCCAGCCAGTCTGGGCAGAATTCTCATCTCTCAGGTTCTCCATCTCCAAAGCTGTTACCCCACTGGCCTGCCTCTTGCTGGACTGCCTATCCTAAGGTCGGGAAGAGTGAGAGTGTGGCCTCTGGAGGACTCTTGTTTGACACAGTTCTCCTTTTTCCTAGTGGTCACCAAGGGTGGCAAGAAAAGGAAGAAAGCCCTGAGTTGGGTGGGACCAGGATGCCTGACCGGGACAGCTATGCCAACGGCACTGGGAGCAGCGGTGGAGGCCCTGGAAACGGTGGCAGCGAGGAGGCCAGTGGGACAGGGGCAGGCAGTGGCGGGGCCAGCTCAGATGCCATCTGTAGAGACTTCCTGAGGAATGTGTGCAAGCGAGGCAAGCGTTGCCGATATCGCCATCCAGACATGAGTGAGGTATCCAACTTGGGGGTGAGCAAAAATGAGTTCATCTTCTGCCATGACTTCCAGAACAAGGAGTGTAGTCGCCCAAACTGCCGATTCATCCATGGCTCCAAGGAGGATGAGGATGGCTATAAGAAGACAGGAGAGCTTCCCCCTAGGCTGAGGCAGAAAGTTGCAGCAGGCCTGGGCCTTTCTCCGGCTGACCTACCAAATGGCAAGGAGGAGGTCCCTATCTGCCGGGACTTTCTCAAAGGTGACTGCCAGAGAGGAGCAAAGTGCAAGTTCCGTCACCTACAACGGGATTTTGAATTTGATACTCGGGGTGGAGGAGGCACTGGTGGTGGGGGCTCAACAGGCCCAGTCCCCCCAGGACGACGTCATGATCTCTATGATATCTATGACCTCCCTGACAGGGGCTTTGAGGACCATGAGCCAGGCCCCAAACGCCGGCGAGGTGGATGCTGCCCCCCAGATGGCCTCCATTTTGAATCGTATGACTATAGCCTGGCTCCACCCCGAGGGGTAGAGTGCAGACTGCTAGAGGAGGAGAATGCCATGCTCAGGAAGCGGGTAGAGGAGCTAAAGAAGCAGGTCAGCAACCTTCTGGCTACCAATGAGGTACTCCTGGAACAAAATGCCCAGTTCCGCAATCAGGCCAAGGTCATGACCCTGAGCTCCACTGCACCAGCAACTGAGCAGACTCTGGCCCCCACTGTGGGTACTGTTGCCACTTTTAACCATGGTATTGCCCAGACTCATACTACGCTCAGCAGTCAGGCTCTACAGCCTCGGCCTGTGTCTCAGCAAGAACTGGTGGCCCCCGCTGGAGCTCCAGCTGCTCCCCCAACTAATGCTGCACCTCCTGCTGCTCCGCCACCCCCACCCCCACACTTGAACCCAGAGATAACACCACTATCCGCTGCTCTGGCTCAAACAATTGCCCAGGGAATGGCTCCCCCACCTGTCTCCATGGCTCCTGTGGCTGTATCTGTGGCCCCTGTGGCCCCCGTGGCTGTATCGATGGCTCAGCCCTTGGCAGGAATCACAATGAGCCACACCACCACTCCCATGGTGACTTACCCCATCGCTTCCCAGAGCATGCGTATTACAGCCATGCCACACTGATGGGGCTAATGGACACTCCCCTGGTATAGCCTCCCAGGGCTGGGATCCAGGGTCCTTACCCACCCACTTGCCTAGCCGTCCCAGGCCCTGTCTCAAGGGCTTATTCAAGAACTAGGACAAGAGACTACAAAAGAGTTTACTTCTGAGAAGGGGTTGGGCTGGTGGGTTTTCTCTCACCTCCTTTTTATGAGGGTTCTCTTGTCCATCTTCAAGTTTCACAGAGGGGGCTTGCATAGGAGTGCACACCGCAGCCAGCAGAGAGGAAGGACTGACTGAGGGACTGTATGTCCCCTAATTGGAAGATGGCAACATGCCTGGTCTTGTCCTCTCTTTTGCACAGCACAGGTTCCAGCACTGGCTTTGGAAGAAAAAGTGCCCTGCCCAGAGGGAAAGCCAGGAAAGGTTGGGAAGTGGGTGGCCAGGTGAGAAGGCCTGGTAGGAACCTTCAGACAATTTGGGGTGTAGTCGAGTTGGGCAGTAACTGCGCCTGGGCCTGTGGGAAGGCGGGGACCATAGTACTCCGGCCCAAAGATGAGGGGAGCTTTCATTACCTTGGTTTGGCCTGGAAATTCATAGGGCAGGGCCCACCACTTTCCAAAGAAATAAACAATTATTTTTAACAAACAGAGGCAGTGAAAACTTGCTTAGATATCCTGTGTGGAAGATGGGAGTAGTAAACAGATGTCACGCCAAAATGGGGATGAAGACCCTCCCCTCACAGAACTGGGATAAAGTTAGGTGGAGACCACTGAAGAAGAGTAGGGACTCAGAATAAGACCAGATGAGACTTTGGGGAAGGCACTTCATGGGGTAAAAGCATTGGAACCACCTAGTCCAGTGTAAAAATAGTCCCATCTGTTCTAGTTTCTATCTGCATATACTATTCCCAGGTTGCTTTAGTAACCAGGGCTCCTAGGGTCATGTAGGGGGGCAGGTACTAAGGAGGGTGGATATGCTGGGAAATGGGAGTGGAATATGTATTAGCAGATCCTTATTCAAACAGCAGGGAGGGTGGTGGTTGCACTCTTGAGTTACCAGTGGCAGTTAATATTCCTCCTACCCACCCCCGCTCAGTTACCAGTGCCTTAAACTTTCAAGGTTCGGGAGGTGCTGGCAAAAAGTTCTGGGGGTGTCAATCTCAGGGTTTGTCCCTTTCTTCCCTCTGCTTCCATGTAGGACCACAGAGGTGTTAAATGTAATTAAGAGTTTGTCGTGGCAGGGTGGTTCAGTTGATAACTGTTGTCCTCATACACCAAGGTTGTGGGTTCAATCCCCAGTCAGGGCACATATACAAGAATCAACCAGTGAATGCATAAATAAGTGGAGCAACAAATGGATTTCTCTCTCTCTCTCTAAAAATCAATAAATAAACTAAAAAAAAAAAAAGTCAAGGTTGAGGGCCCCAATAGCGAAACCTCAGTTCCTCTTCAGCTCATAGCTGATACAGAGGAAAAACTCATGTCCAATCTAATGGGGCAGTGGATTTGGAGGTAGAGACAGTGATCCTGTGTTACTCTCCCCCAATCCTGACTCCTGCTACCTCTTGTTCTCTTGCCTGGTTTTATCTGGGGTTGGAGTTGGTGGGCTAGGTCAAGGCCAGGCCAGTAAAAAAACAAAACTAAACTAAAGGCTAAAGGTGGGCAAACACTGAAATATTTGTGGATTTTAGAAGCTACACAGTAATAAGGTAAATGTTGATTTTTCTGGCACAATTTTGGATTATTAAAAGAAATGGTTTATGAGCATTTAGAGAGACGAGTGTGATCATAGATGAATTTGTCCCAGCCAAATGCTGGCACACTTAACTTTATTTTCATTTTGCTAAGTATTTCTAAGGAGGGAGATTTGGGGAACTGACACATTGCCATGTCCTTTACTAATGTACTTCAGCTAGACGACCAGGAATATACCTGCAATGGAACAAACTGGGTTTAATGCTCATCGCAGTGATGGAGGGCTCGCACCATGGGGAACTGGGGTGTGCCTCAGTGAAAGGGTGTTAGAAAAGAGTTACAGGACTTATGCTCTGGTAAGTGATTTTGGGGAAGGTTAAAGGAAGTGGGGCTTCATTCTGGGTTGGGTGCTGACAGGAAAGCAGGGATAGGTAATTCGATGGGTATCTTTATCTTATCCAGAAATAGGACAGACCGGAGTGCAGTGAAACTGTGATTGGTAATGAAACAGCAGTCACTCAGCTGGGAGAGGGACATGTTTGCTATTTTGTGGTTTGCACACTGACCTTTTATGCTTAAACAAAATTGTGATTTTTTTTTTTTTTTGCCTCACTTCATCACAGTCACTGAGTACCCTTGTCCTATGTTGGTGATTTGTGAGCTCGATTGTGTCCAACAGAAGAGCACTGTTTCCTACCTGTGAGCCCGGTTCAGCCCCACCACCTCCGAAGCCTGGCTGTGTCAGGCCAGTTCACAGATGTCAGGAGCTGCTCACCTCTTTCTCTCCTCCCAAGTCACTGCAAATAAAAGAATAATTAGGAATCACTTAATAGTACAATTTGGTGGAATCCAAACTGAACATTTTATGTAGTAAATATTGATTAGTGCATTCGTGTTAGGGAAAATCTGTAGTCTCTAGTGATACCATACCAAAGGGTGTGGTTCTTTTTTTTTAACTTGTATAAAAGTATGAAAGTCTCTGTTATCAACATAACAGAAGGACATATGAAGTAATATTGAAAGTGTTTGTAACTTGGATTGACTAAATCCAAGGGGTCAATTTGGATCAATTTGGATTGACCCTCCCCCTAAAAAATTGCTTGAGCCTGCTTGAGGAGTAAATGCAGAAATCTACATTAGCAATGAGAACAACACAGGACTTCCAATTGGCTACAAAAAAGGTCTTAGCTTTTTTTGGAACTCCATAGGGTAACAGACCCATGGTCATGCATTGTAAATATAGCAGTTCCGTGTCTGTCTGAATGTCTGAATGGAACCACTCCTGAAGTATTGTGTGTTCTTCAAAATGTAATCTTTAGAAGGCCACTGACAAACCAGTGGGGTAGCTGAATAGATATCTTTGGGGATACCCAACGGATATCTTTGAATATCCGACAGGCTGCCCAATGGAGAAAAGGTCCTGTCTTGCTGCATAGGAAATAAACAGGGAGTTCTAGAATAATAGCTAACATTTATTGAGTACTTAATGTAAGTCAAGGCACTTTATGTGCAATATCTAATTCACAACGTGATGTAGATATTAGTCTCATACCCATTTGACAGAGGAGAAAGGAGTCTTAAAGAGGATTAATCAGCCCTGACTGTAGTGGCTCAGTGGGTTGGGCATCATCCTGCAAACGGGAAGATCTCCCTTCCATTCCTGGTCAGAGCCCATGCCTTGGTTGCAGGCCAGGTCCCCAGTTGGGGGCGTGTGAGAGGCAATGGATCAGTGTTTCTCTCCCTTCCTTCCTTCTCTCTCTCATAGTAAATCAGTAAAATCTGAAGTAAATAAATATTTTTTTTAAAAAGGATTAATCAGCTCAGGGTTCCCCAACTAGAAGGGAATAGAGCCAGGAATGTAATCAGACAGTTTGACTCCCGACTTGGCATAACAAAGTTCTAATGTAGCGCCATCCAGCAATGAGACTACTTACTACATTGTTGTGGTTTGCTAGGAATAATACAGAGGAAATTTCCAACAGTTCTGTTGCCCTTCCATCTTGGAGAGGGGGCTAAAACCAGATTACCACATTCAATCATCTGCCTCCCCAAGGAAGCAACTGTAGTTTACATATAAATGCAGATTGCAAATCCAGGAAGTCTCTAAGGAAGACACGTCCTCTAACGGCCCTTCTTTTTTCAGTTACCATTTACTGCTTATCACCACCAGGTGGCACCTGGGCAGCAAAATTGTCAATGGGTGGGGACCCACCCTGTTTACTAGTTCTGGTGTCTGCATTGCAGCTGCTGATTGTGTGGCTCTTGGCCCCGCCTGGGAAGAGACCTTCCTGAGAATGAGTTTTTTGTGGTCCATATGCCATCTTCATTAGGAGGGTCTGACAGTCTAGATGGGTTGAGGAAGGGGAGAATTTTGGAACCTCCATAGGTTACCCTGTCTCCCATCCTAAGACCCCCTCTCCCTACTCCAGTGTTTGGCAAATTTCAGTTTATAGGGAGGCTTCCCTATAAGGAGCTTCATTCATTTTTCTCCTATAGTTCTTCATTAGCTGGGGAGCAGATCATCCTTACCTCCTTCAAACTCCTCAAGCTCCTTTTCAACCTGCTCACCTCTGAGAATATGGAGGAAATAGGCAGATAGAAAATTGTTTCTTACACAGTTCTGCAAACTGAAGAAGCAGTCTGCAGAGAAGTAAGCCACAGAGAAGTAGAGAAAGGGAAGTGAAAAGTTTTAAGATTGGGCAGCAATAGACTTTAAGCAGTTTTGATGAAACACAGCCTAATGAATTCTATGCCCTGCAGAGCCAGAAAAAAATTATCAGCTGCAGATATAATGTCTCCTCAGTGATTAACTCTGCTTCCCCTGCTGTATCAAACAGAGTAAAGCCCCATAAGTACTGCATTAAACAGGAATCATTTTACAGTGACCAATCCCTTCCCTCCAGGGTTTCCAGCTGGTCTAGTTTTTAAGTAAGTCCCTGGACAAGACTCCACCTCTAGGTCCAGTTAACTAGTGGTCGTTGTCATTGTGCCCTGCATTTCCCTCTTCCTGAGCCAAACTATACAGTGTAGGACTGCATTAGTTATACCAGTGACCATATCCCAAACCTTCCTTCTAACAATGGCAAATGAGAAACTGAACCGTCTTGGTTTCTTACATTTGTGTTCCAGCAGTTGTCAGGGTCAGTAATTGCTTGGAAAATGTAATCATTTCCAATCTGAGCCTTCCTCCCCCCTTTTGGAGCCAATTTAGTTTTAATCTGCTGTCTATTATAGAATAGACTAACCCTTGGAGATTTCTAAAAAGAAAAAAAGCCTCACTTCCTATTCATTCAGCTCCCCCACCCCCACCCCTCTTCCCTGAGGGCTAGATGATCTCAACTGTAATTTTCTGATTCTCCCGTTTTCTCTAGAGTCTGTCCTTGAACTGCATGGGCATGGTAGAGGACTAGGGACAGGATAGGCAGGGTAGGTAGGCCGTGGAACACTGTCATTCTGAATAAGGTCATTTCCTTTCCTTATTAAAGACAGCCAGGAACATATCGAAGGAATGTGCCTAGGATATGAAAACTATCCCTAGATGACCAATGAACATGTAGGAATCCCAGGCCAAATCCTGCCAAACCGAGTGGAGTAGAAGTGAATGCTGACCCTCCACAAACCTTCAACTTCACAACTCCAGTTCACTCTAAAAACCAAGTAATTGGCGATGCAGCTCTGCGTGATGTCAAACCACAGGCAGTCCCATCCCACGTCGGGGAGCTCCTGGTCCTGCCACTTTAAATTGTAGACCACACCACCCTCTCTTTCTAGCCAATCCAATGCTGCTCTTTAGCCTCTTTCTTCCTTTTCCCGCCTTTGGCACTCTCGTCCAATCACGGAGGTCCTGCCTCCTCGGAGCCCTCACCCCTTCCTGGAAGAAGAGGGGCGGGGTTTCGGTCTTTTGACCCCACCTTAGTCTATGTGTAGCGGACCAACCCGAAGCATTAGAGAGAAAGGGTGTGGCTTGATGTCCCCTCCCCCATTGTGGGGTTTACGGTATGCTGGGGGGCAGCTGGTTTTAAGACTAGGCAACCTCCAGCTGGTCTCTGGGTCCAGCGGTTCCTCCCAGAGGTGGCACTATGGAGCGCTCCCCCGGAGACAGCTCCAGCCCCAACCCCGGGGACCTGGAGCCCTCAGCTCCCTCCGACCCCCCAGACCAGCCTCCCACTGCGCACACAAAGCCAGACCTGAGTTCTGAGGACCAACCTGCCCGCCCAGGCGCGGCGGGTGACGCTCTGGCGATGCTGACTTCGTTCGGGCGGCGGATGCTGGTGCTGGTGCCGGTGTACTTGGCCGGGGCAATGGGACTCAGCGTGGGTTTCGTGCTTTTCGGCCTCGCCCTCTACCTGGGCTGGCGCCGGGTCCGCGACGAGAAAGAACGGAGCCTTCGAGTAGCGCGGCAGCTGCTGGACGACGAGGAGCGGCTCACGACGAAAACACTTTACATGAGCCATCGAGAACTGCCTGCGTGGGTGAGCGACGACCCTCAATCCTCAGTGCAGCATAGCTCCCTTCCAGCCCTTCAGTTCTAGGGCTCTCCATCCCTATCTCTGAAGTCAGCTCCCCACCCAGAGACAATGGGCCCCACCCAGACTTTCCTTTCCTGCCCCTTATCCGCGTGTCTCTTGGGACCGACTGCCCACCACCCCTGCCTTTCTGCACGCCCAGAGCCCGTTCCTTCCACAGAATCAGGAGACCTTCCCCTACGCCTGG